CACTTCTCCTGGAATCTTGGACACACACACAGCATGATTTTCAAACCATCAGATCCTATCAAGCTGTAGTCAGTCACGTGGGAATCTACTGCATTAACCTCACTACCTGCTTGTCTTTCTGACCCCAGTCTTACCAAGTTTTCTCTATTTTAGATAATGGCAAATTCATTTCAGTTTAGAGTCTTGACTTCTCTTTCCAACTCAGTTCTGATCTAAATCCTGATCGCTTTACCTTAAAATGTATCAGGAAGCCTGGGACCAGCAGTTGTGTAATGGCTATGTTGCTAGACTCCCGTGTAGTAGACCATGGTTCGAGTCCCAGACCTGGTGGCTTAAACTCACACTGGGCATGTGTGCATGTGTGCCCAAGATCCCGAGAGGAGAATGGAGAAGGGATTATGGTGTGGTCATCCTCCCTGGTGATTTCTCGCTTTCTATTTCTCTGTCTTTCTGACAAGCACATGCATCCTATAGCAAAAACCTCTCAAAAAAAAAAAAAAGTATCAGGAGGCCTAGGGGTGGCGTAGCAGTAGCCACAACTGAATGCACATGAGGAAGGTCCTGGGTTCATGTCCCAGGATCTCCTTGTGCACGCCAGGCACTCCAGTATGTGCCTGTACTCCAAGCCAACTCAGACAGGGTAATCACGACATGAAGATCCTGTTGAGAGGACCTCCTCTTCCTTCTTCTCCCTCTCTTTCTGACGAAATTTTTTAAAAAATCAAAATCCAACCACTTTTAAAAAATCTCTTTTGCTGCCACCATGTTTATATTCCCCTGTATTTGCCCTCTCCTCCTGCCCAGGCTCTCCCATGGGCTCCCATATCGGTACCAGCTGAAGTCCTTAAGTTGACCCACAAGGACCTGCATAATCTGTAGTCCCCACATTCCACTCGCACACTCAGCTGGCTCCACTCCCTGGGCTTTCCCACTTACTGGTTCCTCCACCTGGAATCTTCCCCCCAGACACCTGTCTGACTAACCTCTTTCAGTTCCTGTTCAAATATTACTTCAAGGAAGTGTTCATCCAAATCCTAGAATGACAACCCCTCAGCACTCTACCCAATTTCCTCTGCTTCGCTTTTCTTCATTATATATCGTATACAGTGGTTGTATGTCCATTTTTCCGTGTACACTCTTGGGTAGTCAGAAAAGTTATGATGTATTTTCTCTATGCAAAAATGCATCATGACTTTTCCAACAACCCAATACATATAATATTTGTTGTGTTCCTGCCCCCTCCATTAAAGTAAAAGTTCTCTGAGAGCAATGACTTAATTTCATCAATGTTTTTTAGTATGTAATATATGCTTTTAAAAATGTGTCAGATAGTGGGTCAGCAGGTGGTGTGGTGGTTAAGGCGCACAGCCGACCACAATTTAAGACCTGGATCTGGCAGCTTGAGAATCACATGGGGACGGGGCGGCGGGGGGGAGGGGAGTTGTCTGCATGCTTGCCTAAAATCCCAGGAGGAGAATGGAGGAGAGGAGATTGAGGTGTGGCCATCCCCTCAGGGAGGTGATTTCTAATTTTTCCTCACTGTCTCTCTGGTGAGCACAAGCACCCTATGGTAAAAACCTTAATAAAATAAATAAATAAATAAAGTGTTGAATGGGAGCCAGCAGGTGGCATGTGATTAAGATGGCTGGAACCCACACGGCTGACTCTGCAGTTTGAGTCTCAGACCCAGCAGCTTGGAAATCACACTGGTGCATCTGTGTGCGTGCTTAAGTTCCCAAGAGGAGAATGAAGAAGGAATTGTGATATGACCATACCCCTTGGGGAGGTGATTTCTCACTTTCACTCTGGCAAATGCTTAGGCCCTATAGCAAAAAAAAAATAAATAAAAGTATTGGATGGATGGATGATTATGTCCAGATCTCTACTATTCCAGTCTGCGTCTCTAGATACGGGCTTCCATGTCAGTGTCTATTTAAAAGGTGACAGTCATTGCTTGGGCAATTCAGGGTACAACAGAGCTACTTCTCTGGATCTAGGTTGTGTACTTATAAGTCTTATAATGGCAATACTTCTTTTTTTGACTAGGTTACACTATACAATTTTGGGGAAGAATTCTGATGTCCTTGTCGAAGAAACTGGAAAAACCCGAGAAAAAACGAGTCTTTGCTGGATTTGAACTCATAACCTCAATATCCCTGAAGAAAAAGTTAATAATTGACTTACTCTAGCTAGTTGCTAATATGCTTTTTCTTTTTCTTTCTTTTTTTTTTTTTTTGAGAGACTTTTGCTATAGGGCATGTGTGCTCACCAGAAAGACAGAGAGAGACAGAGACAGAAAGCAAAAAATCGCCCCTAAGGGGGGATGGCCACGCCACAATCCCTTCTCCATTCTCTTCCTGGGTTCTTGGGCATGCAGACCCATGTACTCTGCGTGAGTTTAAGTCATCGAGTCTGGGAATCAAACCGTGGTTAACTACGTGGGAGTAGTTACACCAGCTGCTGGTCCCACTAATATGCTTTTTCTAACTTGGCTATTCATACATACACTCAAGATATATTTCCTGGTCACCTATGCTGCACAAGCACCGTGTGCGAGGCATTAATGGAGACATACAAACACAATGAAGGGGAGCCTGTCCTGAAGGTTCTCACTGTTGTGGTGACCCACAGAAGTGACTGCAATACTAAGACATGGTGAATGCCACGGGAGAGACAGTCATCGTTTCTCGTTATTCATTTGAGAGGAAAGCAAGACCTGGACCTTCAAGAAAGATTCGGATGTCTTGAGGGCCAGCCAGTAGCATGGAGGTTAAGGTGGCTGGATCCCACGTGGCTAACTGCTCAGTTCAAGTCCTGGACCTGTGGGGCTTGAAAAATGCTGTGTGTGTGAGCGTGTGTGCATGCATGCTCGTGTGCACGCATTCCCATGATCCCAAGAAGAGAATGGAGAAAAAGATACTGTGGCTTGACCATTCTCCCAGGGGGTGCTTTGACACCCTCCCTTTCTTACTCTTTCTCTGCCTCTGGCAAGTGCGTGATCCTGGAAACGAAGCCAAAAATTAGGACATCGTGAAATGGCCTGCTGCCTTATGCTGGAACACATGGGAAGAGCCTGAAGTTTCCCTGTACACAATGGGCATGCACAAGATCCTGGCTGACTGAGCTGCAGGTGGACTGTGGCATGACAACCCTGATGGAAGTACCCTTTACCCCATCTCTTGTGAAAGAAATAAACTCGAAACAAATGAAAGAAAAGAAATGGCCCAGGATCTAGGCAAAAAGAAATGCTTAAGCAAGAGAATGGGTTTGATAAGCATAAGAAATAGCGATAGGTGGCCCGGTGACTAAGGGAGCCAGATCCCACACACCAGCCACACATACACTGTAGAAAGGTCAGAGCTGCTCAAAGTATGTGACCAGGAACATCATCAGTTCTGTGCTTTCAGGCAGTCTATCTAGTGGCTGTGAATAAAGGATGCACATGCAGACAATCTGGGACCAAGAAACACAGTGTAGGCGAGGGTGATAACCCAGCCAGCATAAAACAGGCTTGAGTAAATGGAGAAGCAGTTAGAAAGGAGAGGAGTAACAAAGATGGTGATTAAAATCTGGCGATTAGTTGAAAGGGCCCTGCAGAACGATGCAAGGAAAGAGCTGGCAGTGGTGGTTGATTTTTTTTTTTAAAGCCCGGGGTCCGGGGTTGGCCCTCAGCACAGAAACAGAGCTCCTGGGGATTGAAGAGTATGCTTGAAAGGCATTTCCAAGTGCACATTTTGGGTGGGGAGGCCTGCACACAGAGGTGGTCATGACCCTGTGTGAGGGAAGGGAGGGGAGAGGGTTTAGAGAAGAGACAATAAAATGTGAAAAGGAGTATTAGGAAATATCCTTGAGGTCCTTCAAGGTCAAGGGGGAGGAATGAGGGAAAGTAGAAAATGGTCCAAAAAAATCTAAAGAGAAATGTTGTCACCTGAGATGCAGACCATAAATTAAGCTGGTATTTGATATTCATCATTCATCTCAGATATTCAGTTTAGAATAGCTAGAATGAATAGAAAACATCACCAAAGAATAGAAGGTACTTTTTTAGCAAACAATGAAAAATGTACAAGTTACTCTGTCCCAAAATGCTTTGTCAATTAACCATCCCCCAGCAACCCCAGAGAGGCTGGCTTCAGGTGCTTTCTACCTGCAGCCCTTTGTGGACAACCGACTGATCTGCTCTTCCTCAACAGCAGCTAGGACACTGCGGTGCAGGAAGGTTAGCCACAGATGTTCAAGTCTGTACTTGGCACAAGCAAATTTTATTGTGTGCGTGCAAGAATGTGTATGAAGAGGGAGGGAGAGTGTGGGGAAAAAAATCAGACAAGTCTTCCAGAAATGTAGAATCTTAGTAACTGAATCGAAATTATGTGCTGGGTTCATATATAATGAGAAAAATCTGTGCTTGCATTTCTTCTGTCTTCATGTTTTCCTCATTTTCAGCTATTCTTGAGTTGTGTTGTTCCCAAAGCGGGGTGGGTACTATGTAAAGCACAGAAATGTTTCTTTAGATGTATCTTTCAAGAGGATCCTTCAAGCAAATGCCTAGAATGGAAAGAATTCAAATCGTCTATTACAATTAGAACCCTTTAAATGACTGCTTTAGAACACCCCCTTTGCCCGAAAAACAGGTCTTATTTTCACCATGGAGACCTCAGGTTCTCTTAATTGGGAATATTATTTTGAGGGAAATGTCTAATTTTAAAATCAGAGGGACCAGCAGATGGCGTAATGGTTACATTGCTGGACTCCCACAGTCGACTGTGGTTCAGGACCCGGACCTGGTGGCTTAAAAACTCAAGGGCGGAAGGGACCGGCAGATGGCGTAATGGTTAGGTGGCTGGCCACCAACAGAGTCCACCCGGTTTGAGTCCCTGACCGTCCACTCCGTGTGCCTGCCTGCCCAAAATCCTGAAAGGAGACTGGAGGAGCAGGGCCTGGCGCGGCCATCAGCCCTGGGGGGTGATTTCTCGCTTTCTGTCTCTGTGTCTCTCCAGGGAGCGCACGTGCCCTCTAGCAAAAGTCTCTCTAAAAACAAGCAGTAAACCAAAATCGGAACTTGGAATGCCGGCTCCCCGTCACGCCACTGCCCAGCCTCGCTCAGACTAGCCTTGGTCAGACCATACTTACTGCACCACGTCCCTAACGCTCGATTTCCCTTCCTCGGCCTGGCCCTCCGGCGGGGGCGACCCGTCCCCAG